GTGATGTGAGTGGAGAGAGAGCAGCAATGAGAGTAGCGACGAGATGAGTGACGTGAGTGCAGATGCAGAGAGCAGAGACGAGCGCTAGGAGACGTCGAGCAGAGCAGATGATGCAGAGGCAGAGAGAGAGCGACGAGCGCGCCGCACTGACCTTACTTTGCACGATACACACCCTAGCGTACACTTTGCTCCTGGTCTGTTACACGCAACTTATATCATATCACCACGTTACGCCGCATCAATTAGGGAAGCACCCGACCCGAAGCGCCATTTCTTCCTACTTTCTACATTTCGTCCCTCTCCTACTTCCATGGCAAGCAGCGCGCCTACGCTCTGGGTCCCACACACGGCGACGCGCTATACTATAACAATCATTATGTATAATCACAAGTACAGTGATGTTACGGGCAGGATGCTGCGAAAGCCTATCGAAGTTGCCGCAGCCTGTTCGTAATATATCACGCGGGAACCATCGCGGTTGAAAGTAGCGGCTGCGACACCCCCGCGAGCGTATAGTCGACGTTTATCTGTCTCAATCGACTATTAAATGGGTGGAGAGAGATGAGAGAGAGAGAGTGCGCTCGGGCAGTGGCAAATGATTGGAATGCCCGTTCAGATATATTAGGTTCTCGTGAAGCAATAAGCGTGCAGTCGTAGTGTTTCATCAAGCGTTGACGTCTGTGGAAGCCGTGTAGGGCGCGATATTCTAAAAACACGCACGTGTGTGTATGTATACACGCGCGGTAAGCGCACCGTCTGGAAAGAGAGTAAAGAGCAGCGAGAATGCCAGCGAGAGAGAAAGAGGAAAAAGAGATGCGCACGATATAGATGTAAAATGGGGGAATATAACAGGAAGAGCAGAAAGAAGAGAGAAGAAGAGAGTCAGCAGAGATCATGCATGCACGAGATCGCAGAGCAGAGCAGACTGCGAGTCGAGAGAAAGAGAGAGAAAGAAAGAAAAGATATAGAGATAGAGATAATGATCGAGACAAGCGATAGATAAAGGAGAGAGGATCATAAAGACAGAGATACACAGAAAGCGTATTCAACCTATATACACAATAAAACACCCCGCCTCCGTAATTATCTGCTGTTATAACCCCACACCATGCTGCTGTGGGCTGACCACGGTGACAACGATCTCCTAATAACCGCCACCTATTGCTAAAGCTTATTATCAGTTATCAACCAGCCATAAATAGTAGATGGCAATGTTGTAACCTTTCGGAATCTCGCGGACTTCAATTATATGCAGGTCCTGTGGCGATGGAAGCGCGCAATGCAAACATATTTGTTCATATGCGCGCGCCGTGTAGTTGTCGGATACGTACCCTCGTGCTGTTATCTATGCTGAACACTTCTCCGCATGGGATCGACATGATGATGAGGTATGCATCGCACACATTTCGAAGTGTTTGGTGAGCGCGGCTGATAGCGATGTTGGCTTCCGCAGTCTCGACGCTTTCAGAATCTAGACGTGTGCGGGGTTTGATTCTTCGTGTCGTTGTTAGCGTGCTGCGACTACGCGGTTGTCGCTGCGATGCATGTGGAATAACGAGACTGTCGTGTTCGTGTTGTCTGTTTTCCGTGCATGCTCAAGCAAAACGGCTACGTTCGCGTGTTTTTTTTTTCTTAATTAAATTATTGCGGCGCGACTACAAACATGCTGCTCTGATCATGTGAGACATTTTAATTTGTAAACTCGGTTGACGGTTGCTTCTTTTAATCGAATTACGCCGTTGCGAGGCTGTTGTGAGGATTGAGGCAAGAGAAGAGAGAAAGGATAGGAGAGGGAAGGAACTAGAGCAGGATGGAGACGGAGAGTGAGGGGAAGGTAGCGAGAGAATGAGGGAATGATAGGGAGGGAAAAAGAGAAGTAAACGAGAGATGCGCAGAGGCAGGATTAAATGCAGACGGCGAAAAAATTTGGAAGGTGAGAGGAGGAAGATCATGTAACATGATGTAGGATCTGGTGGTTTAGGCGCAAGTAGCCGCATTGTGCATTATGTCTACTTAGACCCTTTCTGAGACGCAGCCCATATTCTTGTGTGCCAGATGGCAGCACCGTAACGATAGATGACTGTTCTGTTAGCCCCACCCCCGATTGTACCCCACGTCACACTCTACAACCCATGACTGATGCTACGCCACAGTACGCGTACACGCGTGTATATACCTACTCATTATTACCAGTACTTACTCAATCAATGCCTACTCAATACATACTCAATATACTCAATGCCTACTCAATACCTACTCACTATACTCAATGCCTGCTCAATATACTCAATGCCTACTCAATACCTACTCAATATACTCACTATACTCAATGCCTACTCAATATACTCAATGCCTACTCAATACCTACTCAATATACTCAATGCCTACTCAATACCTACTCAATATACTCAATACCTACTCAATACCTACTCAAATATGACGCTTATAATTTTGTGACTTTGCTGTATAGCGTATTTTAGTTGAGTAATATTAATGATAATGTCGGATGGGCGTCGCATTTCTATGTTAACGTCGCACGTCATTGAAACTGGCGACTGGCGACCATCTATCAGCGAAGGTTAACGTAGTGAGGAACCTCAAACAAGATGGATGATCGGGAGACAATGAGCGGAAGGTGCTTCAGTGCGATGGGCCACGCTGAGGTGGTTGTGTTATCCATCCTATTATAGGTCGGCTGCGGCCGTTCACTCACGTCCGCCGCCCCCCCCCCACTATTGTAAAGACCGTGTGGGACGTCGGTTGCCAGAGTGAGAGTGAGAGAGAGAGAGCGAGCGCGCGCGCGACACACACAGAGAGAGAGCAAGATATGGAGAGGAGAGAGCATGATAGATAGACAGCCAGACAGACAGACAGACAGATAGATAGATACGTAGATAGATAGATAGATAGATATGAGGTTGATGGAGTAGATATGAGTGAAATTATGTAATTTAATATATAGATGATTAAATAACTTCATCGGATCTCTATAATTTACATGCTAATAACGTTAATCTCAGTTAGATTCATAATCAGTTCAAAATAACTTACTCTGACGAAAAAATCTCTCCGACAGACTTCCTCAGGTCTAACGTTTCCAGGTAGATGGCAGCACTGGAAACGGAAGTTCGATCCTGTATCAGACCTCATTATAGCAGCGGAGGAAGCTTGCAAACTGGTCCCTCCTCAGGTAGCTAACGAACTGACGCCTATGTTATGCAGCATCATCAGCTCAGCAAAGCCTCCTACCCCCAACATCAGCAAGGATGAAGCCATAGCTTTGAAGACGCTAGCTAAAGATGACAACCTTCTGATCATGCCGGCAGACAAAGGCAGAGCCTCAGTAGTCCTGGATAAAGCAGATTACACTCAGAAAGTAACCGATATGTTATCAGGAAAAAACATCTCAAACTTAACAAGGACCCGACGTCGCGTTATAAGAACAATCAGGTCAACATGTTAGCTAGGTTATGCAAGGATGAAAAAATCAGTGAGTCACAAAAGAGATACCTCTACCCCACATCGGAGACCATCCCACGTCTATATTGCACGCCCAAATTTCATAAACCAGGCAAACCTTTACGGCCCATCGTGGACTATACTGGGTCCATATAGGCTACAACCTATCCCGCAGTTTGGCTAACCTATTATCACCGATCGTTGGCAAAACTAGATATCATGTAGAAAATTCCAAGGATCTAGTCACCAAGCTAAAGGAACTAATAATAATAATAATAATAAAGGAACCAATACTACGAGACGATGAAACATTAGTGTCATTCGACGTCGTCTCGCTATTCACTAACACACCGATCAGCAAAGCCCTCGAAGTGATACGGAAGAAATTAGAAGATGACACCACTTTGAAGAAGAGAACGCTACTCACTGTAGACGACATAATCGAGTTACTGGAATTCGTGCTCACCACCACCTAATTCATGTTTGGCAGACAGTTATATCAACAGAAGTTCGGCACGGCGATGGGTAGCCCCGTATCTCAAATCGTTGCCAACTTATACATGGAAGATTTAGAACAGACAGCCATCAATACAGCGTCTGAACATATCAAACCCAGATTTTGGAAACGCTATGTAGATGACATTCTGGCGGTGGTTACCAAGGGATCCACACGCATCCTCGATGATCATCTCAACTCAATACATACGTCCGGCAACATACAATTCACCTCTGAAGTAATGGGAAACAACAGCATTCCTTTCCTAGACACGAAGATTGTGAGCAGAAAAGATGGTACGATTAAAACCGTGGTCTACCGGAAGAAGACCCATACCAATCAATATCTGAACTTTCAGTTTCACCACCCGATAATTCACAAACTGGGAGTCGTCCGCACACTACTTGATAGAGCGAACACCGTTGTAACGGAACCGGAAGATTTACGCGCCGAGGAACTTGAGATTCGACACGCACTTCGAAATTGCGGCTACCCAAACTGGACAATTGAAGACACAAAACGGAAAATAGAAATAAAAGTTACCAACAACAAATTGAAAAAGAAGGGGAACGACTTGAAAACGAAAAATAGGGGGTTGGTTATCATTCCATACATCAAGGGCATGTCCGAGAGGTTAGCCCGCACTAAGGACATTCAACATCTCTTCAGCTTTCAAACCCCACAAGACCATCAGGAACGTCTTAGTTCATTCCAAGGATAAAATTGAAAACAAAAATACTACAGGATGTGTATACCGTATCGCCTGCTCGAACTGTGACAGCGCGTACATTGGGGAAACAGGCAGAAAATTTGGCACACGTTTAAAAGAACATATGACTGATGTCAATACTCACACAAAAGGAACCATCACACGAGCGGCTCGTGTGTCCACTTCAGGAAAACAGCATAAGTCAGCCATAACAAACCATATGGTCGATTAAAACCATCTGCCGGACTGGAAAGAGGCCAGTGTGGTGTCAAAGGAATCGATTCCGAGGCGCAGACAAATCAGAGAAGCAAACACACGCACGCAGTCACGCGGCGTTCAGGGAAGCCAGAGCAAGCATGCCGCTTATCAGGCGCGCATGTGGCGCCACCTGCTGGCTGTCGGAGACGCCGCGGTAGGTGGCAGCGAGGTATGCGTGTGCGGGGTGTGCGCATGTGGGGGCATAGCGAGTTAGAGCTGGGTATTCTGGTTCGACGATCGCTTTCTACTGTATTGATTTGATTGATGAGATTGGTGATGAACAGTTGTTTGTGTGTGCTGCTGGTGTAGCAGCTGTCTACGGCATGTTACCATACCTGGTCGCCTGCAGTAGTCCTCGCCTCTACATCTGTCTAACCATCTTAATATATTATGCGTTTCAGTTATACGCCATAAAATAAATTAATAATTAAAATAAATCACGCCATCTGTTACCGGCATTAATTTCTCCAACCTTCCTTTCTGTAGCGGAATCGGTCTTGTGTTCGACCAGCGTTCTCTGCATGCTATGCCCTCTCTGTTGTATCGCTTATATCCACATCCCTACTTGCATAGCCTCTTTAATATCCTCTCCCACCCCCATATTCACAAATAACATGACACGTGTAATTTTCCATCGCTCGTATCATTTTCTAACAATATTTACTCGCCATCTACGCCATTCATCAACATATTCTGTCTTATCCCGCATCAGCATTTTCTGGCATTTCCTGCCATCAAAATATGCTGATAAGCTCCACGTAAGAATGATATACCCCTGCGTCAGCATCTTCTGATATACCCTGCGTCAGCATCTTCTGATATACCCTGCGTCAGCATCTTCTAAGATATCCCCTGCGTCAGGTCATCTTCTGATATACCCTGCGTCAAGGCAATCTCTGATATGCCCTGCGTCAGATACCCTGCGCGCTCAGCATCTTCTGAATACTGGTCACCTCTGAGCTGCGTCAGCATCTTCTGATATCCCTGCGTCAGCATCTTACTGATATACCCGCGTCAGCCAATTCTGATATACCCTGCTCCAGCATACTTTCTGATGATACCCTGCGGTCAGCATCTTCTGATATACCCTGCGTCAGCATCTTCTGATATGACCTGCTCAAGCATCTTCTGATATACCTCTGCGTCAGCATCCTTCTGATATACCTGCGTCAGCGCATCTTCTGATTACCCTGCGTCAAGCATCTTCTGATGATACCGCCTGCGTCAGGCATCTTCTTCTGATATACCCTGCGTCCAGCAAGTCTTCTGATATACGCCTCGCGTCAGCATCTTCCTGAATATACCCTGCATTGTTACCTGGCGTCAGCATCTTCTGATATGCCCTGCGGTCAGCATCTCTGATAATACGCTTGCGATCAGCATCTTGCTGAGTATCACCCCTGGCGTCAGCATCTTCTGATATACCCTGCGTCACAAAATCCTTCTGATGTAACCCCTGCGTCAGCAATCTTCTGATATACCCTGCGTCAGCATCTTCTGAGTACCCTGCGCACAGCATCTTCTGATATCCCTGCTCAGCATCTTCTGATATCGCCTGCCGTCAGCCATACTTCTGATGGTAACCCTGCGTCAGCATCTTCTGATATACCTGCGTCAGGCAAAAATCTTCATGATGTACCGGCTTGCGTCAGCATCTTCTGATAATACTGCTGCATCAGAAGCTTAAACCCTGCGGCGCGAAGCTATACCCTACATCATCATACCGTACCGGTACATACCGTACATACAAATCTTATACCCTGCAACAGAATCATTCATCTGCATTAGAATAACATCAGCGATATACCCTGCATGAGAATCGTCTGACGCACAGCTTGTGTCCTTCCTCCTCCGGAGGAACATGAAAACAATCTTCATTAGATCAATGTAAGGGGATGGATGGCGCGCGAGCACTTGTAACGAAAAAGGAAGATGGATTATTCGTTTTCACGCTATAGTTTTGCGCATAGTGTGAGTGTGTTCCCTGTGTAATTGCGCATGGCGGACCCACGACATATTACTAAAGCAGCTCACCAGAGGAAGAGAAAGGAGGGGAGATAAAGAAAGAGAGAAGGAGAAGAAGAGGAGGGATAGAGATGGGGGAAGGGAAGAAGACGCAGGAGAGAGAGAGAGGAGGAGGGAGGGATAGAGGGGAGAAAGTGAGAGAGGTGGAGAGGATAGAGAGGAGGAAAGAAGGGAAGAGAGAGAGAGAAGAGAGAGAGAGAGAGAGAGAGAGAGAGAGCGAATAGAGAGAGAGAGCGCGCGAGGAGAGAGAGAGAGAGAGAGAGAGCGCGAGCTGAGAAGAGAGAAGAGAGCCGAGAGAGAGAGAGAGAGAGAGAGAGAGAGAGAGAGAGAGAAAAGGGGAAAAGAGTGAGAGAGGAGGAATGGAGAGAGAAAGAGCGAGAGAGAGGAGAGAGGAAGGGGAAGAGCGTATAATATATACGGTGTTTGGACGTAGCAGACTCCCAAATGAAGTCGATTACATAAGGGGATTATTCCCCAGTAATCTTTAATTAAATAACACTCGGCGCCGGAACGCCGCCTGTATAGACTGGTTCTCTTCTCGCGACGTACAGCAATTGCTGCGAGAATTCTAATGTCATCGCACTCTAGAATCGAGATCCTGTGTCCATCTGCAGTTGATTAGTAAATATGCGCGCCTGAATTGTATGGGGATGTAGTACATGTATGCTCTGATGTGAAGATGTTTATTTTTAGTATTATCAGCTGCATTTCGTATTCGTAACTAGTGATTGCTAGAGTCGAACAGCACGAACATTTTGACGAATATCTTTCGCGGTCATTGAGACATCGAGTCATTGATACATGAGGTCATTGAGACATCGAGTCATTGATACATGAGGGTAAGTCGCTCTGATGATGATGAGAAATACAATTGCCTCTAAATAGTTGGATGGAATGTATGCTGATCTGCATACATTCGCCATGTTCGCATCCCCGTAGGAAAAAGCAGAGCTGGTTAGAAGGATGTACTATCGTGAACTCGGAATATTAGTCGGGCAACGAGGCACAACATTGCTGTTTCCGTTTCTTATCGTAGGTATTACAGTATTGCACTGACGAGAAAGCCTTTGATCGACACATGTGTGTGAGATAGTGTACGTACTTTACTGGCCAACGTCCCCCCTTATACGTTGCGCATGCGCGTGAGCATGTCTAACGGGGCGCATTGCGCATGCGCATGGGAATTTGAACTTTATTATCCATGCGCAATGTGTAAGGGACACGTTTGCCGTGGTGTGGATGTGTCCACAAATGCTACATAACACCGGCAACTACGCATAAAGTTTTCCAATCTCTCGCTCGTTGGAAGTGAATCACGTTTCTGCTCCTCGGGGAGGTGAAATGTTTCTGATGTTATGGACCCGGGCTGCGACGCTACGCACACACGCACGCACGTTCGCACACACACACGCACGCACACACGCACGCACGGTGTGTGTGTGTGTGTGCGGTGTGTGCGTGTGGCGTGTGTGCGTCCGGTGCGTGTGCTGTGTGTTGTGTTGTGTCGGCCGCG